AAAACAGCCTTTATTTTGAAAAGTGATATTTTTCATAGCTTTTTGCCATATTTTTAATTTCAAAAGCTAAGAAAATCTGCCATTTTTACTATCGTTAGCAAATGTCATCATTTCTACACACAATATGGCTAAAATATAAATATAGCTGTAATTTTAAAATTGACAATTCCTAAAAAGTAAAGTCATTTTGTTTGTTATTTTATTGATATCTGATTTTTGTATAGATGCAAAGGAAAGATCTTTACATGTGTTCTTTTCAAATGAACTAACAAAGTAGTACCATATTTTATGCAAATAATATGCTCACTCTAGGTTTGATTACAAACTGTACTTCCCCCAACAAGTATTTATTATAAGTGCACTATGCTAATTTTTTACAATATGCAGAAAAAATGGTAAAACACTCTTGAAAGTACCTCAGGCTGGGGAGTGGGTGTGCTTAGTAAACAAACTAGAGGATGCATGATTTGCATAAAAACTCTTTATACTGGCATGCTCTATATCAGATAATGACTATTATTATCTATCAAGTTTGACTTCTTGTCAAAATGCCTCACAAATGGCTCCTAATAAGTTTGAAATCATGTAAACAAAAGTTGAGCAAGAAATAAGTAATTAAACTGATGAGAACAGACACTATACTTGATCTTAGCCAAAAGGCGAACAGAGGGTGGGGGAGGGAGGAAAAGGATGAGGAACTGATACCAAGGGCTCCAATAGAAAGAAAATATTTTGAAAAGAATGATGACAACATATGTATAAGTGTGCTTCACATAATGGATGTATGGATGGTGATAAGAGCTGTAAGAGCACCCCAATAAAATGTTTTGTTTTGTTTTTTAAAAGAAAGAAAGAAGTAATTATTGTGGCAGATAAATTCCAGGGATCAGTTATGTATTTTATTTATTTTAACTTTCATAGATTAGATATAAGTTTACAGGACAGATCAGTTTTTTATTCAATAATTCATACACACTTTGTTTCACATCACTGATTATAATCCTCACAATGAAACAACCATTCGGGTTTAGAAATGAACTGACCCCAAGACTCGAATTTCAGGCAAGCAGTATTTATAAGGGAAACAATCACATGAGGGAGTTCAGCATGCCTTAGAATTAGCAATTCTTTTAGAATTAGCAATTCTTTGAGATCATAAGGACAGCATTTACCCAAGGATAAAGTCTAGAAGGATTAGGAAAGAAGGGGAAATTGAAACAGAAAACACAGGGAGGAACTGGGATGAATGATCACTTACATATTTGAAAAGTAAATCTTGCATTCTGCTCTTCCTTTTCAACCAGTGAGATGGTGTGATTTACTTTTGGCTTCATTGAGTAGATGTGTGTGCCTCCTGAGAGTGATAAAAAGTGATTCACACCTCTGTTAAGTACCAGTACCGTAGGAGAATATGATGCTCAGCCCACCCCAGTGTGACAAAGCTATTGCAAACATTTTTGTTCCCATTTGGAGAGTGGGAATATGACTAAATATTGCATGGCGTCCATGTTTGTAGATTCGGTACTGGGCTGCTCATGACAAAGAAGCAGCTGCACACAGAGTTCAAGTCAGCAGCCAAGAGTACTCCGCCCGGATGGAGAACCTGGTGCCAGACACCCAGTACTTTGTGGAAGTCAGAGCCTGCAACAGTGCCGGTTGTGGCCCACCCAGTGACATGATTGAGACCTTCACCAAGAAAGCACGTGAGTCTCAATACTTTAATTTTAAACTGATCCAAAACTACACTTCATTCAAACTTGATGAAGGTACTTTGCAGAGAAAATTTCTGCCTGAGAGTGTTACCACATTTGGCTTCCAATTATAGGCTTTTGTAGTAAAACTTCAATTTGGGGGTTTCGCTTTGCTGGTTATCAGAAGTAAGGAAAACTGTGCCTTCATGCATTTAATATTCCAATATACAAGTAAAATTACAGAGCTCCCCTTTGTAATACAAACCTTAAAATAGTCCATTAAAATATTTGTGTCCATTCTGATTTTATTAATTTAAATACTGTTTTCATAGGATTTCATGAGGCAATTAGAATGCTGCTCTTTTCTCTGTATGTTGATTTGTTAGGACATTAAGTTTACTCTCTTACTGCAGCCGCCTACTCTGATTAGATTGTCTGCACTTTCTGTTTCGTCTGGCCTCGCTTTGACCTCTCTTTCTTTCGGAGTCCAAGTTGGATATAAAAAGAAGGGAGTTTGTATGGAAGACTGTAGAGCAGCAGTTCTCAACCTGTCAGTC